TTTTAAAACTGTTAAGTTTCTTTTTCAATGAAGATTTCAAAACTTTTTACTTCTAAGTAACTTTTTTCTCCTTCTTATTGCTTTTATTTGACGGATTCAAGATTCGAAAATCTTACAGGATTTGGATTCAAGAAATCCATGTCACCTATATTCCCAATTAGTTTAAATTATTTAGCAATATTTTTTTATCTTGCCTCTTACAATATTAATCCTAAATTATAAACTGATTAATAACTATCTAATAACATTATCGACTCAAAAAATTGATTTAAAAAATGATACACTACGTCTAAAGGTTTTACACTATGTCACACTATGTACACTACATCAAAAGTATGTGTGCATGGCAAAAGTTTAGTAAACTTTCGCACAGTTTCAAATACTACCACAGAATGTCATCCAAGAATGACCCAAAATATGCATAAAACTTTAGAAAGCTTCATGTGATATAACCATAAGAGACTTTTGATTCCAATTAGAAATAAAAACATTCACACAACTGACATAAGTCATTTGTTCACACCTTTATGTTATAGTGGCCTCAACATTGAACTGAGCATTGGCAAGCAAAAAAAAAAATGGTTACTGATACACATAAGGAATTCATTCAATATCTATACTACAGAATTTAATTCTAAACATATAGAAGTAATTTAATAGCAGTTTGTATTCATTATTTTATTTACTTACTTCTGTAAGCAATTTGTTTAAAATACACAACATATGGATACATTACTAATAAAGACTCTCTGGTGGCCACAATTAGGCAATAACTGCTAATAATGTATCAAATACATTAACATGACTGACAGGATGCATGAGCATCTTTTACTATGTAAGACTCCAAGTGATGTCTTTTTTTTTTAGCCCAAAGGGACAATTTGTCCTGAAGGGCTTTTAATTTTGTTTTGGAATTTTGCCAAAACAAAATAAGGGTATCTTATGTTCTTTATTATAAGTCTTATGTTCTTTATATATGTTTATTATATGTCTTATGTTCTTTATTATAAGGGTGCGACACGAAGCCACACGAATGTATAGGCCACAGCAAAGCATTCCGAAATATGGCACTTAATATTTCTTTATTCAGTAATTCCCTTTCATATTGATGTAATCATCACTGATAACATTTTATACCATTGTCAGCATAACTATAAACATCAATATAGGCATATAAGACAACACAGTTCACTATAAATGGCATTTCACGTTTCAAAGTGTTGCCACCAAACATTAGAGACCTCCATTATATTTCACGAAATTAAATAATGAAGAATATGCATGAATGTATGTACTATGTTTCTCGCACTGTGAAAAAACAACGGTACCTAGAGACATCACATTTTGAATAATGTAATCCTCCATTCGAATATGGGCAACTGGAAGCCCAAATTTGGAACTTGTTTTATTATCTATTTCACTTTTTGTAAAACTTTAACAAATTTTTTATTAACAAACTCAACAATTTCAAAGCGAGCAATGGCAACACTGTATGAGAAAAAAAAAAAAGAAAAGAAAAAGAAAAAAAAACATTTTTATCTCCAGTGCGCTAGACTGTGTATTGTAAATTATAAAGATATGTTCTTTTTAAATTTATTTTGTGATACTGCTGTTTTAAAGAATTTTATGGTTTAAGTGCGAAGAACATGGTATTTAATAAATAAAGGTAACACACAAAACGTTAAAAAAAAAAAAAAAGCCCCTTTGGGTATAATATAAAATCTGAAAGCTTTCAGATTTTTATTAAACTATTAATATATATTATAGTTATATATATTTTAAGCCTGAATGTCTTATTAGAAATTCAAAGCCATTGAATAAGTGCTTGTGTGTATCAACAACTGTCTGTTTCTCGACAACACAGCTAAAACATAGAAGTTCCTACAGTAATTTCGAACAGATAAGCTGCCCTGGTGTATATACTGCACAGATTAGTTACTAACTTAAAAAAAAAAAAAAAAAATTAATTCAAAAAAAGTCCACATGAATGTATAGGTCACAGCAAAGCATTCTGAAATATGGCACTTAATATTTCTTTATTCAGTAATTCCCTTTCATATTGATGTAATCATCACTGATAACATTTTATACCATTGACAGCATAACTATAAACATCAATATATAAATAAATAAAAAATAAACAAACATCTTTCCTTGAATCTGCCAAAAATGAACTCTGCTGATTTTTAATGTATGTTATTTTTATGGATTTGTTGAACTTTGCTTATCGCCATAAATTATCATTTCATGAAAAATAATACATAAATTAGAAAAACAGAATTTTAGAATTAAAATAAACTACATTTATTTATGCAAAGCCTTTAAAATCTGACTTATCAATTTCAGAATCATATAAACTTAATAAATGACCATCATGGTCACTTTCATCACTGTGTCAGATCTTTTTCATTTTCTTTTCGATTATTTTCAATTTAATAAAAACTTAATACAATCGTATCAGCTCAGACTGACAGCCATGCTTTATTGACCCACAAAGCAACCTCATACAAAGATTTTTCTCATCTGTCACGAATTTATGAAGGAATGGAGTCCAGTTTGCATGTATTCCTTCCACTGCTTTCACAGTTCATGCTTAAAAATTATATTGACAGTGAGATCCAGTGGCTATAAAATTTTTATCACTGAGAAAAAACATCAGTTAAAAATTCCCCCTTCCCTTCATATTTCACCCTTCATATTTTACCATTCGGGGCACAACCAAAACAAGTCCTTTCATTCCTGATTGTTAACATAGAAATAGTTCTATTCAGAGAGGTAATCCAAAAAAGTAAAGGGCATTTCATCCATTTTAATTATTGGGCATCTATTCAAATTTTCTTTTTTAATTTTAATACACATCCAAAAATAGGTAGAATTTTGTGAAGTCAGTTTTTGGGAAGCTTCTGTCCAACTGTTATTTTGGTCCTGACGGATAACTTTTTTTTAACTTTCATGAACCCGAAACATTAATTAGGTCCTCTGTCAAAGGTTCTAAATTGACCTCAACACAGTTAAAGCAATTTGGAGAATTGGAAACACTAGGAATTGAAAAGGAAAGTAAAATATATAATGATGTTCGGAAGAATTTTAATGCAACTGTAAAATTTAAAGAAAAGTGAGATGAGGTTAATTTACCTTGAAATGAAAATTCATCTTTTTTAAAAATGAATTGTGTAAATGCCAAAGCTTGTCTAATACCCATTTGTCAAGCAATTACAGTCAAAAGTCGTTAATCCGGACTCGTCGGGACTTCGGCGATTCCGGATTATAGATCATCAGTTTAAATCTGGTAAGATGGCATGCAGAAATTACAAAACTAAAAATATGAAACCGTAATTTATGAAATAAAGAACAGTTATGATCTAAAGGGTATCAAAATTTACAAAAAGAAAAAGCTTAATATTTATTTGTTTACTTTATTAAACATTTCTTTCAATGTAAGTTGCTTCGTTTCATGTGATAATACTTTCTCTTTAATTCTATTAAACAGACATAATTTCTTGTTCAGTTACAAAGTTCCGCTGTTCAAATCCTATAATTGCTGTGTTGAGAATACCGACTAATTTGTCAATCGAAATGTTTTCGTTTTCAATAACCTCTGGGTCACTTTCTTCACTATCAGAAGCGAATTATAATGATGAGGAACTTGATTTAAATCATATCAAACACGGAGTACATCGACATGAAATACTACACTTAGTAAGGAATTATAAGCCAAATAAAATAAAAACATCTGCCCTGAAGATAAGGATAGTGCTTCAACTTCCAATCCGCAGTGTGAAACTGATAAACAGATTTCGGATTTCAAAACATACTTTCGCTTTGTAGATACAAATTACATATTAGTAAATATATATCCGAAATTCTATTTGACATAATCGAAAGTTCAAGCTTACTTTTATGAAATTGCTCTAACAGTCTGCAAAAAATAATAAGCCGGATCCAATTCGAAGATTAAGGAACAACGCAATCTGCAACATTAACTGAATTAGATAATTTTAGCTTAGCTTATACCTCCGTTACACTTTAAATGAGCATGTGCACAAACATATTCGCAGCCGTAAAGGTCTTACGTGCACTCTTAAACGCCTGTGCGCATGCGTGAACGCAACGCATGTGCAGAAAGTTTGTAGCTTTGAGGTCCGGATTATAGATTATTCCGGATTATGGGTGTCCCAATTAACGACTTTTGACTGTACATTTGCTTAAAAGCAAATTTCTAATTGCTGACACTGATAATCCATTTTCTTTCTGCTTTATTATTCATTTCTCTAAATTGTCTTCCAACACAAGCCAGACTATGAATCCAGTCTGACAAGACCTCTAATTTTTCTTGTTTGGACTTCCACTGCCAAACGCATCTCTCATAAACATGAAATTCTCTAGCCGCAGCCCGATTTCCAATTTTTATCGCTTTCTTCACTGCCGAACGCTTAAAAGCAATTGTATAACTAACTTTTTTGAGTAGAAGCCATAATAATAATAATTTTTAAAATCCAACAAGTATGAATGATAACGTAAGCATTGCAACATGTACGCAATACGCAAGCCACAAGGCAGTAAGACACACGTAAGAATAAACACAAAACTTAACAAAATAAATGTTTCTGTGGTCGTTAAAAAGGAGATAGTTATTAAAAAATGCACACAAAACCACCGAATTCGGCAGGGAGTATATGCATTATGGTGCCTTTGCACCGAGTGCAACTTACTACAGTTAGGCAACTTTCACAAAAGTTCGAACTTGTTTCGCTGCCTTAGTTGCAACCTGAGCACTCGTATCAGGCTAAAACGTCGCACTGAATTCTACATTAACAATTTTGCTTATGCATAACTTACAATCTAAATTAATAAAGTTATAAAGACAGATGAAAAATAAAGTTCTTTCAGATATGATGCGCACCTAAATTTTTGGCTTTTAAACATGTAGTATATAAGCCACAGCTTATCTATGTGAAATTACAGTATTTGTTAATATTACATTTAAATAAATGCCATACCGAGGAAAGACGTTTCCCAAACTAAGATCCATTATATCTCCAAGAATTATTTTCATTCTCCCTTCACTGGCATCTGCAAGCAGCTAAAAACAGAGAAAAGAACAAAAATAAATATATAATGTAATATGCATAGACAGCCAAAATAGAAAAACTTTTACAACTATAAAGATTAGATTTATAATACTAATAATATAACTTAATAAAGCAATATACTACATTTTTATGGAATATTTTTATTTAATTTACGTCAGAAGCTTTGAACAGGATAAAGGTTCACATAATATTAAAGTGATCACTCGGACAAAACACAAAAATCTTACGAAACCATGAGGGAATGCTTACAGATCTCACAATATCTTATATTCAAACATACATTAGTCACATAAAATGTAAAAAAAGCTTAAAATTCTTCATAACTGAGGTCCATGCGGTACTTAATCTGTTCAGGACTGTGATCGCCATATATGTGATCCTGCGATTCTCCCTCAGTATCATATATGTAACCAGTCTTTACGTGTCTTGAAGACACAGGTGCGATTTCAAATCAGAATTCTTTTATTTAAGTTTTTAAACAATACTAAATGGTGGCTGAAGTCCCTTATATTTTCGAATAATGTTCCACAGAGTGTTGATCTTCAACTATGCACTTTTGGTTCAGAAAGTTTTCTTGTATTTTTGTTGGATCAGGAGAATTTGAACATGTAAACAACAGCACATGTTCAATTCTTTGAGTGGATAGACACTAAAAAGATTTTATAAATGCGAATAGTTCATTCATTTGTTACATTCACAAATTTTGCATGTTCGTATCTCATAGTTTTACTAATTATTTGTTCAAATTTTTCAAGCGTCTATTGCAACAATATCTCTCTCTCTCTCTCTCTTTTTTTTTTTTTTTTTTTTTTTTTTTTTAATTTATTTATTTATATAAAATGAAACCACTTCCTTTAAAATTCACAATTTTCTTTTAAATATCACAAAAATATTATTGCAGTATATTCATATACTATCAATGATAATGAACTGTAAATTTCAATATATTTAATTGCAGTTTATGACTTTAAATGAAATTATGCTTAATGGGGAAAATCGCATAATCCTGTGTGTATGAACCTTTGGGGGGGGGCACTTCTTTCTCCTTTTGCCACTTCTAAATACGTTAACCTTGAGTTTCTCTCCCAAATAAGTTGGTATTTTTCCAATGCATACTGAAAATAGAAGCTAATTTCCCTTAGAAAGGAAGTGCATGACCTTGGTCTCACTAAATTTTCCCAAATTCTTTATAAATACAAAAGGCTTTAAAATGCAAATATACGTGTGAAGAGAGAACATGCACTTTTAATCAGAAAGAAAATTGAGGTTAGATTCTATGCAACATTTGTATTATTTAAATTCCTCTCTTACAGCAACTACTGAAGCTTGAATTTATTAAACAAAACTGGAAATAACTCTTAGTTCAAATCTAGTTGTCATCAATGCATTATTATTGGTGTTATTAATTTTTTAATATTTTTTTTATTTTGAAAACACTTAAAAAAATAGTTTTTAAAGAATAATCTAAAAAGTACATAATGTGGGTCGGAATTTGCAGAAAGGTTCCAACACTGGATATTATCCATGTTAACTATGTGTAATATAACTTTTTTTCACCATCTTGTAAACAGAATGAAATTAGTGAACTACTAGAATGAAGTTAGTGAAGCTAGTGAACTACTCCCATAAGGAGTAGTTCACTAGCTTTTTTTACCTGTACAATTAAAGAATGCATGAAGTTGAATAGTTATAAACACCTACTCTGCATGAATTAAATGGAAAAATATGGTATAGCATGATGAACAAAAATTTGTCTGTAACTTTATCTGAAAACTTAAGAGGTTGATCACCTTGCAGAGAAAACACTATCACCATTTCAAAGTCAAGAATATGCCATCAGAATCATTAATTCATTATCTGATTGGACATTTCAGGTAACAAATGTGGTAACTGGTTTGCCATGATTGAAGAAACCATGTTCAGCCCAAGTTGAGGACAAAAATCAATGTGCATGACAGAAATGTCCAAGAAACAGCAGAGACATCCATAAAATGACAGTCTGGCCAATTAAAGTTGTGTCTGGTAGAAGGACTAAAATTAACAGATTACTAGCATCAACAGTATAAGGAGAAAACTATTCTCATTACATAGCAACCTGTTTTTCACTTTAAAAAAAATAAAGACTTGCGTAAAATTGGCATTATGTACATTAAAACATTGCACAGGTATTTATGACATGATATAAGCAAGCTACCACAGTACTTTGCAACTGTCGCCCCCATTAACAGAAAAGTACCAAAATTTCTGAATTAAGTTTATATATCAACAGATATACACCACACCAAATAATAATTACGATATAGTTTTTATGTGATCAGCATAGAGCTATGCCATGAATGAAATGAAAGCTCAAATAATGCTGCTATACATTATTTAATTCTAATAAAATGCTGATTAGAAGTTACAGAATTAAAAATATAAAATAGTGGTTTGTGAAATAATAATGATGCATTTATGAGCTTAAGGGAAACAAAATTTATAAAATAAACTTAATGTTAATACTTATTTTCTTTTATCAAACATTTCTTTCTCTAAACTACTTAACCAATTTATTTTTTGTACTATAATTTCTTTTTAATTTGACTTTGACCCTTTGACTATGAATTTTTACAAAATAAAAAAGAAAATTTTACCTCGTTTTCTATCCAAGTGAAAACATGCCAAATAAGGTAAATTTAGCAATTTTTTTTTTTTAAAACAAAATTTTCAAGCCAATTATGTCCCACATGTAGCAATTGACTTACTATAAGCACACCTCTTGTTCTGGAAAACTTTATTATATGAAATAGATTTTAGATCGTGTAGTACAAGGTAAAGCATTTGGTACTTTTTTATTTTGCTGCCGTAGGCGATAAAGTCGACAAAAATGGTACAAGCGATGCCAAATGTAATATCATCGCTGCTAACTTTTATGCCTCATTTTCAAAACAAGTCGTAGCCATTTCTTATCCAATTGAATGTTTCTTTCAATAATGGCATACAATTACATAGATTTTTTACCAGACAGTTCAATTTTATGCTCTAAGGCCATTCGCGGTAATTAAGTCAATTAGAATGCAATCACATCGCTCGCCCAAAGGCAAACATACAAAAAAGATAAAGTAAAGGGTTAAATTCATCAATTCCAATGAGAATGCATTAGCGAAGTAAAGCACTGCGGTTTTATATAATTTCCGAGTAAGCTATTCGTACGAATTGAAATAATTCTTGCATTTAATCTTGTATTCCAAATTAAGATTTAACTTGAAATTAATGCAGATAATTACTGAGAGAATTAGATTTTTGTAGCGTGTTTACGCAAGATGAGATCACTCAGGGTCACGTGTTATAAACTGGCGAATCAGGATGCTGAACTACTAAAGCATAGTAAATTCTTAAATTAGTCTTTTTACAAATTTATTGTCTTTTTACAAAATTTGAAACGATATTAAAATGTTTATGCCTTCATAATAAAAAATTCTTAGAACTAACATTTGTTAAAAATTTTTTATGTGTATACTGTGTATTGTCGCCAATAAAGGCTGCTTGGCGAGATTTGCGCCAGCGAAACGGAAAAGTACCAAGCATTCTTTACATAACCCAACATTACACATTGGGCAACTCAAATTTATTCTTTGCTCTGTGTTCAGAATGACCTCAAAGCCATAAACAATTTTCTTTTTTGTATGCTTTATGCATGTGCATTTAAGTTTTCCTTCCATAATAAAATGTGGAGATTTTCACTTAAAAATTCCAATTCTTAATATCACTTAGGAACTAAATAAAATACCTTGTTATAGAAAAACAATCACGTAAGCATAAATTTGTGAGATTAATAATTTGGCTCCGTAGCTGAGTATCTGCTTGGCATACATCCCAAATGTTCCGTTCCGTTTAACGCTGTTCACCGTGCTTACTGAAACATTCACCTATTTTATATCCCTGACACTGGCCTGGCGGGTCACTATTTATTATATTTTGCTTTCATCACTGCATGTTCTAGATCTGCCTAAACTGTTCCCTGCTACGCTCACGATTATGAATCTTAGTAAATGGAAAATCTACCTAAAATGCACCCTTTTTCACAACTACATTAAATTTCAAAATCAACTTTTTAAAAAATTGATTTTGAAATTTAATTGGAAGTCAGCGGACTTCCAATAGGCTCACATTCCACATAGACTCCAACCTTCAGCAAACCTTGTCAGTAGTCAACGCGCGAACGACATTTTTACAACTTTGAAAATGTGCGCGTAGCGTATGTTGTAATTAACCATTCATTAATTTTAAATTAATAATTAATTGTAATCAATTTTATTACATTTAAAATCCATATACATATAAAACTGAATAATTAAAAATATACCTTGTAAATTATATGCACATTTAATTAGAAATTTTCTTTTAACTCCTCAAGCATTCACTAATAAAAAGTACTTCAAATCACTACTAATCATAGAAAAAATCAGAAGCTATAAATCATATCTTTATTCTGGATATGATTTCTACAGGGAAATAAAATTTAAATAACCAAGAATGATACATATAAGTATTAAACAAAAATACGCATAATTTATGAATGCAAAGATTTATATGTAGCATGCTTAGCAAGCTTAAGTTCTGATTTTGAGAATGTTTTTTATAACACAGTTCTTCATTTGCCTGCATATTTATTTTTTCAATCAAAACTGCTTCAAGAGTTTTAAGACCTAAATTTGGTCGAAATTCCGTCTGATTTTTTTTAACAATAGAAAAAATTCTTTCGCAAGCTGCATTTGAATGAGGTATTATTAAGACAGCAAGCATTACAGAAGGCAATACTTTGTATTTAATACACCCATTCATATTTTTTAATTTGGCAATTTCTCCCCATGCTATATCAATATGCAAATCTACAATTTCTTTCAAATCATCTACTTGATACATGGAAAATTCAATTTCTACTTGATTAAGACATTTTTCATCAATAATGGATGGAAAAGTATTCATCAAGTAAAAGAACAGATGAAAATGAGACTTCAGTTCTCAAGTTGATGT